GCATGTGATTGACCACTGTCTTCCTCACCATAGAAGCTGATGATCTGCGTTAGATTAGGCCAGCAGTAACCGTTCATTGGGATAAACCAGTACGGCGAAAGAATTCCTCAAACTGGTGCCATTAACGCCAATGAAATACAGTCAATCTTGAAGTGTCTATGATTGTTTCTACAATCCGTATCTTCCTAGGAAACTTCAAAATACTTTGCAACAAAGACCTGTATGGCAATCACAGTTGTGAAACTGAAGATATATAAGTGCAAAAAATGAGCTGTATTCAATTCTCGGGACAGGGAAGCACTCGACTTGTTGTCAACTGATCACTGGACACTACATATTTTGATGCTAATTGTAATACTCAAACCAATCGGGTAAAGTTTAAACTGAAAATAAAAAGACTACATTTAACATTCCATTACCTTTGTAATTTACTCACCACATTGATTACCGTCTAATTAGCACCGTCATAAAACAATAGCTATAAACAACTTAATTCCTGTGGAAAGATCGAAAATTTATTAATTACTTCAAGGGCTGTCATTAACTCTGGTTGTTTGGGCGTTAACCGTTTGCTTCTGTTTAACTGACTCAACGACAACACACCTCAAAACAATGGAGGTTTCAAAAATTAACAACAACGTCACACCGGTAACGCCTCTGTCTGTGTGCACGTTGCTTAGTGCGTCATAAAACCTATATAAAATAATAACCATTGTTTTGATCAGTCTTGTGTTCTAAAGCTGGTAGTTCAGTTTGCTGATGCAATGCTTCTGCTTCTGACCAAACAAAGAAAAAGAGTTTGACGTATCAGCGGATGAAATTTTAATGCGTTCCGCGTGGATGCTCATCGTACTTCAAGTAGTTCAAGTGTTTATGTATGTGACAGTTTTAAGCAAGATTCAGTGACTGTTCGACAGTAAAATGACATTGTTTAGTGCAGAAATGATGGAAACCAGAAGGTTTCTACCTATAATAAACCCATTTCAAACTGAAATATGAACTAAACTGATATTTTCATGGTACACAAATTAAGTTTGGATCCATTGGTGAAAGTTGACTCCCTGTCTTGTTCTTTCCTCACTTAGTCTGTGCACACTGTAACAGCGTTTGTTTAGCACTACGGGCAACGTGGCAATATTGTAGAGAAAACTTAGGAAACCTGGTGAGCGATCTCATTCAACAGGATGCTCCGTCATTTTTCAAAGTAACACGCTTTTACTCCGCACATTCGTTAGCTGGTGGAACCTTGTTTCTAACGATTACTTGCCAAGTTTTGAACGAAACAACATGTTGTTTATGACAGATTTACGATTGTTGCCCTTTGTGATCTGGTCATCGTTACGCGCGCAAAAGGTTTGTTTGCATATGAGTTGCCTCACTACTTGAAACAGTGCATGCGACTTATACTATACACGCACTGAACTGCTACACAATGTATGAGAAAGATTAGCTAGGTGAGTCACATAGAATTTCCGTAACAGGTTCAAACATTTGAGAATCAGAGATGCATTTCAGTCGGTTGAATGTGGGAACTTCTCTAGATTTCCTGGTCTACTGATGCCGTTTAGCCACTGGAAGCAAAGAATCAAGAATTCGGTGAACGTCAAAAAGTAAACTGCATTTCTGTCAGTTGTGATTGCCATCTGAAACAAAGAACCTTGAAAATGTTAGAACAGTATCCTAAGAGCCGATGCATAATAACTGCGATGACGGACCTCGTTCATGTAGTTTTATCTAAAAACCTACGGAATATTACAAACTTCATTTCCATATACATTACTTTGAGCTCTGGTATCTAAAGCCTTCCATCTGCTTTCTCTTCTGAGTTTCATAACAATACTGTACGCAGGGTGACTATAACACAGTTTCTGTAGAGTCTGCTCAAAACTGGTTCGAACTCTTCTGGCTCTACTCCGAAATCAGTGATTAATGCCTAGTTGATGTCACTTGCCTCCTACTTCTGCAACTTAATGAAGCAGGTCCATTTAGTAAAAGAATATTTTACGGCGGAAAGTTACTCACGACGTCTTCTGTTGTAACTAATGAATAAGTTGACATTTTGCCGACGAACCAACAAGCGAGTAGAAAAAAGTGCTCCCTGACTCTCCTTGGCTAAAGTAACTACGGAATTCAATGTATTGTTATTGACGTTGACATGTATACATATATTCTATAAAACAAAATACTCAGTCCTCCCCCTCGAGCACCACTACTTCTGCCAGTCCGATTTCAATGCATAACTTTTACACCACTGGTACCAGGAGGTGTACTCCAACTAAATAACACAGACCACCTGAGAGGTAAAAAATCCACTTCAATACCACAACTAGGTTTACCTTGAAGCGTTTATTTGAAACACTTATCAGCTGAATGGAACTGAAGTGGCCACGCAAAGTGGATTACTGGAATTAATTGGAGATTTCGTTGATATAAATGGCATCCCACTCAGATAGATATCTTAGTCAGGAGTTTCAAGAGGAAGCGTCAGAGTCTAATTCTACTCTCGTTATAGTTCATCATTGTTGCAAAGCTTTAACGGGATCGAGACTAAAACTCCAGTTCACGTTGTATTGAGGAAGTTGTATTTATTATTGCTCCGCTTACTATAGATTAAGCACCACAAGACTTTAACACTGTTTACCAGCAAATGTGGTTAAACACTCAAAAATGATAATTCTGCCGTGCTCAATATGAGATCATTAGCGCAGTAACCAAAATGACTGTTTCTTCGTAATCTTGGGAGTGATTAAAAGAATAGTTACACCAAGTATTGTTTAGCTATCTACCGAGCAAAATTAACTGTATGCGTCCATGAACATCTATATCGACAGTCTCAACAGAGCGTAAGGTTGTTAATTGGGAACTAATCTGTGACATAGTTACGTTCATTTTACAATCCTCTACATGCAACAGAATTTCGGGGTGACCATTCTAACAGTACACGTTGCCAACTTTCCAGGTGACCATTATCCTAGTGTATTCGGTACCCACTATTGTGGTCAAGCACCATATGCGGATTCACTTATAAAACACACTCCGCTATTTATAGACTGTCAGCAGTTCGTTACGTAAAGTCCTTTCGTCTTAAATTTAACTAACCGATAACCATGGAACGCCAAGGATATATTGTAATGTGTTGTACAGGCAATGGCTGGCTTACGAAAGCCTCACATTTCTCATATATCTAAGAGGGTGGTGATGACTGGGTACATGTTGGTTGCTGTACGATACATGGAAAGCTTACTAAAAAACCTTTAAAGAGGGCGCGATAAATATTGTGTAAAGTTCGTCAATTACGTCGAATTATGTTTATACTGTATAAACAAATTAAATGCGGCTCTAAGGCAACTAAGCAAATCTACTAATGAGAGCAAGCCAGTTGGGACCATCTGTTAACAGTCACGAAAATTTCACCAGCAGCCACTAACTCCATTCCCTACTCCAGAGACACAGTGACTATTATTAT